AAAAATTACAACTAGTCTGTGACCTTTAAAAACTATGTCAAAACATTAAAAACTCTTAGAACCAAAAACTAAAGTTTGCTGATTCTGGGGAATACAAAACACTTCTAATTTTGCCCTCTCTTTACTTAATTTCAAAAAACTGTCAAACTAAGATCATAAAATATTGGGGGGAAAAAACCCCAATATGGATAAGGGAAACATGAAAACTTCCATGTTTTACATCTAGTTTCTTAACTCATCTTCAAAGAAACAGTAAGTTGAAGAGCACCATTAGATGATATCAAAAAGACTAATTAAAATTTGATTATCCAAATGAAGTAGCATATATTCTGCTTAGCTAAACAATCTGTTCAGCTTAAAGTCAGCATGTATCCATTTTTTAAGAAATAGAAATAATAAAATAGGAAATTAAAGTTGCAATAATGATATATTCCTTCGTTGATAACTTGAAGATAATTAATTTTGACAACTGGTTATTTTTCATGCATTCAGATGGATTGTAAAAGCATTAGGAACATAAACTTGCATTCAGGGAAGGTGGTTATGGGAATGCTTCCTAAGAAACACACCCAACTTAGAAGTATAAATAAAAAGATCAATCAATTAGACCTCATCAAAAAACAAAATTTATATAAGACAAGATACCAAAATAAAAGTCAACAGATTGAAACTGCAATACATGTAAAAATCAGAGCTAATAGCAGTATACATAAAAAGCTCCCACATACCATTAAGAAAAAAAACAAGTCCATGAAAAAATAAGCAAAAACTATACAAAGGCAATCCACAATCAATAAATATGAAATAAGTTCAGCCACACCAGTATTCTAGAAATAAAAGGGTCCTTTTCTTATCAGGTTAACAAATATTTAAAAGGAAAATAGTATGGCTAGATTGGTGTGTGAGTGAGGGAAAACTGGTAATCTCAGGGTGTTGGTAGGAAAATTAAGTGTTAGAGCCCTGTTACGGGTTGAATGTGTCCCCTAAAGGTTCATGTTTAGAAACTCAACCTCTACTGTCACAGTATTAAGAAGATGGGAAATCCTATTATGTAATTGAAAGGTAGGGCCTTAGTGGGATAACTGGATCCTAAGGACTGTGCCCATGTGAATTCACTGATGGTTTAGTGGGTGGTCATATGTGTGGTTCTGATGGCTTTAAAAGGAGAGTGGGTAAGAAGCTTAGCTCTTGCTTGCTTGGCCACTAGCCATGTGATAGACACACCATGTAGCTGTGGTCACCACCAGATGTGTTCCCTGGACTTTGTACTTCCCAGCTTCCAAAACTGTAAGAAATAAATTTTATTTCTTTATAAATGGCCCAATTTCAGGTATTCTGTTATAAGCAATAGAAATGGACTAAGACAAGCCTACCCCCTCCTCATGAAAAACTTTCTCTAAACTTTATTTAGCAGTATCTACCAAAACTTTCAATAGCTATTATCACTTGATTTAGTAATTTCACCTCCAAGAATCAATCCCACGGAAATACTTGCATGTGTTCACAAAGAAATATGCATAATGATGTACTAAACAGCAACTTTTGTAATGCCAGGGGCAAAAAAAAGGAAAACCTAATCATCCACTTGTAGGAAAATTATATATTTTCATACAACAGAAAACTATGCTGGTACAAGTAGATTTATATGGACTAAAACTACAAGATTTCTGAGACATTTAATAAAAAACAGAGGGGACAACATATTTTTTAAAGATATTATATAATGTGTATGTACACTACCCTACACACATATACATAAAACACAACACAGCAAAAGGTTTGGGCTCACAGAGCCAGAATTGTGCCCCAGTAAGCCAAAAGGGAAAAATAACAGCCTACTACCTAAGGTAAAGGGATCAAGAAGCCAAAGAGAGGGGAATCCGGTAGAATAACTGAAACACATACAAATTTAAGAGAAATTCTAAAGGAGACGGATGAAAGATGAGTAAATAAAACAATAAAAACCCTTAAAGAAATTCAAGTGCATGGGCCGGCCCGGTGCGCACTGCTACAGTGCGCCACTTGGGAAGTGCGGCGGCGCTCCCGCCGAGGGTTCGGATCCCACATACAGACCGGTTCCTGCTCACTGGCTGAGCGAGGTGCGGGTGCAGCACCGAGGTTTGCGATCCCGTTGCCGGTCCCCGGTCCGGTACGGGCGTGACACTGAGGGTTGCGATCCGTTGCCGGACACGAAAAAAAGACAAAAAAAGGAAAAAAAAAAGAAATTCAAGTGCAGTAGAAACACACAAAGATGACTTGCAAAACTCAGAATGTGATCTTTCAATCTATAATATTCTGGGTAGAACTGAAGAAGATGGTCACTACCAAACCTGACTTAGTGGCTGAAAGATCAATGAGAAAATAACTCAAAGGAGAGCACAAAAACTGTAGATATAAACGGTAAGAAAAAAAGTAAAAGGTTTGGAGGGATAATAGATCCAGGAAACCTGACATGCAAATTACAGATTTTCCAGAAAACAAACAAACAAAAAGAAACAGATGAAGAGAAGCAATAATTATACAAATTCTAAAAGAAAATTTTGCTAATCTAAGAACAGACCCAAGTCTGAAAACTGATAAGCCCCAAGAATCTTCAACCTGAGGAGGTTTGGAGGTAGTTACTATCTTTTCATGTACAATACTCAAACACAGAAACCACAACCCAGAAGTATATTCTCTGAATACAGACTATTTTTGTAACTTTGACTGTGGAAGTAGGTAAATATTTCCCATACTTATTTTTTAAAATGACCTTGGTTTATCAAGTCAGTGGAATAACTATATAGAAAAGAGCTATTTCAAGTGCCTTTAAAACACAGTAATTTGACTATTCACCCCTAGAGTGATATGTCCTAAACATATAAAATAACTGGGGGGGGGGGCTTAAAGTGTCTTTAGTAATCATACTGTTAGTCATACCGTTGGTACTGTTATTCTGTGATGTGTGTGTAAGAAAAGCAAGAGAAATTATGTTGCTACCATTGAGAAACAGTATTTTCAGCAAAAAAAGAGACACTGAAGTAAGATGTAGATGATGGGGTTCAGTAAAAATCTTGTAGTAGGCATGATTGGCAAGTAATTGTATAAACTCCTGACATATCTTTAGAGGTGTGAATCTTCCATCTGTGTCTACCAAAGAGGTCTATAAATAATGACTAATTTGGTAGCAACACAATCCCTAGATCCCACACTACGGCCTATAAATGCTGCTTCTCACCTTGGAGAAAGGGCTGAATCTAGGTCTGAGAAAGGAAATATACAAGACAAGCCTAGAACATCATGTCACAGTAGAAAGCTAGGAAGCTAAGAAAGACAGGATTATAACCAAAAAAAGAAAAACGTCATGAGTCTAACCAAAGATAAGACAATTGAACATCAATAATAGGAACAGCAATGGATAGAAATACATAAAATATACTTAAATCTATGAATTAATAATATTTAAACCAACTATTCTGAAAACTGGTAAATCCTTCCTTTCCTATACAATTTGTACCGCTAAGTAACCAGTGTTGATGAGGGGATGTATCTCTCTGTAAGTATTCCAGTTAATAAATGAAAAGTGAAAAACAGAAATATATTACCACCATTTTCAACCTTTAATGATTTAATGGATCTAGGCCAGAGTTTTTCAACCTTGCACTACTGACATTTTGGGCCAAATAATTAATTCTTGTACGGAGCTGTCCTATGCATGAATGTTTAGGAGCATCCCTGACCTCTATTAACACCCTTCAAGTTGTAACATCCTAAAGTGTCTGCAGACATTGCCAAAATTACTGTTAGTTGAAAACCACAGATCTGGGCAATAATAACCATCAAAGACTACTAACATTACAAAAAAGACAACTAGATGCACCCTGAGGGAAGGGCATATCATCACTTATTAATTAGTCTTGCCAAAGAAAGATTAAATCTGAATCTGATAAAACTTCTAGACCTGCTTACTAATTTGTAGGAAATATAGGAATGAAGGACCCTATCAAACAGTACCATGGGGACACAATAATAGAATCCAGACTTTGGGGTTTTATAGGAAAAACACATTTATTTCTTCAATAACAAAAACAAGGAGAAAAAATCAAAATCATTAGGGCAGCAAAACTATTCTGTATGACACATTGTTAATATATGAAACTATGCATTAGACAAAACTCACAGAACTGTGTGATACAAAGAGGGAACCCTAATTAAAATTAAGTTAATAATAATATATCAATATTAATTCATAATTATAACAAACATACTACACACTAATGTAACATGTCAATAATAGGAGAAACTGTTTATGTGGGCAAGGGGAACAGTACAGGAACTATCTGCTCAATTTCTTTGTAAAACTAAAACTGCTATAAAAATAAAAAAATTTTTTTAAATTAAGAAAAAACAAGGTCAAGGGTTCAGTTCCCTGTACTGGCCCACCACCAAAAAAAAAAAAAATTTTTTTTCTTTTAAATAAAATTAAAAATCAAAAAAAAGTTGAAAGGAAACCTATAAATTACAAGACTTCAGAAACAAGCCAACTCAATGCAACATGTCTTTGGACTAATATGAACTGTAGCAGGAACGAAAGAGGAAGCACTGATGTGGGGAGAGAAAGGAAAGGGAAAACCAAGCCAAAGTAAAAAAGAAAAAGTAGACTACTCAATACTTAGATTAAAAAATGTAATTTTACACAGTTGTATAAATGTAATCACATAGTGGATATATATAAAACAAAAACAAATTTAAAATATCTTAATAAAAAGTAGATTCAGGATTTCACAGTGGTTCAAGTCTATAATTGTGAACAATAAACGTTAATAGAGAGTACTACTAAGGGAGGAAGATACTTGTAGCAATTGAATTTTAGGTCTGAACACCCCAAATACAACAGAAACAAAAATATTCAGTAGACAAAAACATATTTAACATACACTTTTTTAAAGTACTTTTTCTTTTTACAAAATAAACCATGTAACAATAAAGTATGATCAAAAAGTAAAAATAAAACAACTTACTAATTAAGTGAAGTACATACCATGGAGTACCAGGAATAGGAGTAGTAGCTACTGGCTTTGCCTTCTGGGCAGCCTTTTCTTCTTCAGTCATTTCCTCTTCTTTGGGCTCCTGTGGGAAATGATATTACTCCAATTTAATTAATATCACAAAAGATACCTGAATAGTCCACAAAAACGAGTATCACTGCAAATATCTCAAACTGCAACACAAGGTCTGTTGTTAGAATGAGGAGGGGAGACTCTGAATAGGAATTTCTAAGAAAGTTCTAAATCCTTGCCCCCACAGAAGGAGGTGAATACCACAACAACAGAACCCAGCAGCAGCAGGTAGTCCTATCTTACAGGCTTACTAACTACATGCTTAGGAGCAGAAATGGAGAACAACAGTATAGAAAATTAGAGACCTCTTCATTCAAGGTTGTTTCTTATTTCTGCTAACTTTCCCTCTTCTAAAACATGACTATCATTGGTCCCTCACTGAATAAAGGAAGTTTCCGCAAAGCAGAACTCTCTGAGTGCTCTAAAGGGATCATTTCATGCCAGAACACTACAGCAGAGAGGACAGGTAAAATATATCTAACAATCCCTAAATATGAAGTTTTGGCTCACTTGGGAGAATGTGATGCTGACAACACCAAGTCAATGGTTAAGATCCTCTTATCGGTCATCTTTTAGGGGAAAATAATAATAATAATAATAATAATAATAATAATTTTAACATGCACCAGTCTATAAGTCGGGAGATTGGAGATTAGGTCCAAGCTCTGGTCCAAGGCACTTCCTTTCTACAGGCCTCAGTTTAATATAGAAAGTAATTTAATGAAACTTTCAAAGGAAAAAATGAATCAGAAACTTCAAAGAACCCTAAAATTTCAGAGATCAAATTCATAAGAATTACTTAAAAGTATATCAAATAGATATGCAGTTATAAGTAAACTATACCAAACAATTAATGCTGGCTCCAAGGTTAACGGGTCACGGCCCTTTACCTCCTTTATCTCCTTTATAGGCTCTTCTTTAGGATCTTCCTCCTCTGTCTCCATTGGCAGAGGCTCTTCAGAGGGTTCTTTGATTGGCTCTTTAATCTTTTCTTCTAATTTTTCTATTACAAAATTAACATAATGTCAATCAAGAACTTTCAGAGAATAAGCAGTTAAGACATTCCATTTCTAGTTATTAACCATAAAGATAAAATGTCCTTCCTTGTAATATCATTGACTTGAATTTAATATAATGTTCAATTTCAAATACCTTGCTGTACCAATCAAGAAATTATCTTTAGAGAAGACCTACTGACTTAAAAGGGACATAAAGTCTTTCAGGTCACTCACATATTTGTACCGATCATTCATTTTGCTGAAAGGGATGAGATACTAAGATATTTAGAAACAGCAACAGGGGCTTGTGATACAGAAAATTATGAGTCTTCTACAGCTAAGACCCCAAGGGCCTAAATTTTTTTTCTTCAGAACACACACAAGGCTACTTCCAAAAAGTTCATTAAGATTCATATTATCTTTTAATACTGTTTTTCCACAAACTTTTTCAAGTACCCTAGTACAACATACACATTCCTTCCTGATCAGTATTATCAATCTCAATAAAGATAACAATAATTATACAATTCCTGACAACAGTAAAAAATATGTATATACAGGACAAACATGTAAGTAGAACAGCTGGCTTTTTAAATAAATATATATTTATCAATTCAGTAGAAATAAATAATCCAACAACTACATTATTAGAAAAATCTCTCAAACATGCTAAACAAAAATTAACTGAGAATTTAAAACAGCATTCTTATTATACCTCATACCATGTCCCAAGTCATTAAAACAATTATACCTTTTTCCTTTAGCTCTTGGGGTTTTTCCCAGGTTGATTCTAATGTTCTATTATTATAATAATATGTCTTCCCATCTGCTGTTTTATATTCAGTCCACTCAGAAACTGCTGTTGCTCCAGCTAAGGTAGCAGGTGAAGCTGCAATAGCAACCTGGGGATGTATCATAGGTACAATAGGAGGGGCCATTCCTGGCAATACACCTAAAAAAAGAATAATAAAAAATTAGATCAGAGTATCAAATTGCAATACAAAATAAATTCTAAATATGAGCTAAACTTTTATATTAAATATACCAAAATACCTTTTTAAAGGTGATTTAAATATTAATTCTATTTCCCTGGTTTTTTAGTTCTAATTTCAATTAGACACAGTAATTCAACCCAAGAAATACCTTAAAAACAGTCAGAAATTTGGGTCTCATTTATGAGCAAGTCTTTACATAGTAAGTGACACGGTACATTCTCTACTTATGAATAGAAACATTTTTATAAAAATGTCTCAAATTCTAATAAAATAAAGACAACAGACATATTTACTGAGCATATTTCCTGAGACAAAATTATTTTGTAGTTCTAAGATACCTAAAAAGGTATGAATTTTTAAATTCTCAGGTTTAAAGTAAATGACTGAGCTTATCAAATTTAGGTGATTAAGTCAGATAGCCCTGTAAACTCTTTGTCAGTTTACTCTTTTCCTAAAAGAGAGCAAAGATGCTTCTACTTTTTAAAAGATATGCCAAGATTTATATATTTTTTTACAATATAGCCAAATAAGTTGATACTGTATAAATAAAATACTACTAAAATAAGGATATGTGAATCAAAATTGAAAAAAAAATTCTAAAATCCTATACTAGTATTTAAGTTTTAGGAAGTTATCTTATTTCAATAACTTTAAAATGTAAATGTTAACTATACACACGAATATTCACACACATATACTCACTAGCATGCAAGCATAATCACATCACTTTACACATGGAAATGATTTTTTTATATTTAACTTAAAAACACACATCAAAAATAAAATTAAATGTTATGAATATGAGAATGAAGTTGTTTACACTTATTACATAAATTAAGATATAAAGTGATCTGACCTTATTTGCTTTGTGAACCAAAGAAGCTAATAACTATAGGCAACTGGGAAAATAAGTGTTGGCCAAATATGACAACTGCATTTACACTGCTCATTAAAAAGAAAAATATAAAAAAATCCACTCACTTGGGCAAAGAAAAAAAATAAAAGGATAAACAACAACATTCACTACCATGCCAACTTACAGACAAAACAAACTAAGATGGTTTTAAAAATTACCGGTCTTGGTGGTAGCGACTGTCTTTACATACGGGCAGCTGACTATTTGCATCATTGCTACACCTGTAAAATGGATAAGCAAGCATATGTTGGAAAGCTGCCATTGTATGTCAGCTACCACTGGGATTCAGGGAAATAATTTACCACTACAATTTAGAAAGCTATTTCCAATGAAAAAGACGAAGAATGGAGTAAAATTTCTTTTCATTTCGACATTTTATGGGAAGTGGTGCCAAATCCGATAATAATAATTAATTATTTATTGCATCAATTACCTTTTTATCAAACCAGCTCTGATAATTTCTGAAGGAGTCTCAAGAGTTTAAAATTCAACAAAAGAAAGCCCCTTCATTACACGTACGTTAACAAATTCTCATGCGGGACATTTTCCCACAGGACATCGAACCCATGCTGCTGTTGCTTAGATATCAGTGAAAAGCTGATGCAGCATGACACTGACAAGACACTTTCTCTATGCTGCTGCTAAGCTGAGACTACATGTAGGAGCTGAGGCATGGAACACAACCATGCAGAAGTAAAAAAAGAATAAGATAGGACAAAGAAGGGTGGTAGGGTATGAGATGGATCCAAATATTCCACTGCATATAATACTTTAAATAAACGAAAGGCAAAGATGAAGAGGAGAGTGGCATTCAACTGGTAACAAAAGAGCCATGTTTAGTGCCTGCTCTATGGAATCCCATGGGCTTGGAACACTATGCAGGCAGGCTAAAACATTAAGAAACATACAGCCCCTTTAATATGTTAATGACTATAATATGGGCTCCAGAAACCTCTCTATCTAAGCCAGCTAAAGTAGCAGCATTTATATTAAGAATGGGAATTCTGTACAGTTCTTAGAAGAATGAAGCCTCATCATGATGCATTACAACGGTAATTAAAAAGGGAATGAAAAGCTGAAAAACTAAGACTGATTAACTGAGGAAATTCAAAATTGAAAATGAATTTAAAAAATTTTTTTAGTGGAAAAGGCTGAAGAAATGTATAGGGAAAATAAACTCTATTTTTTTTTCCAGCTGGAAAAACTAAACTTAGTTTGGTACCCATAAAAATTAAAAATAATAAACTATTTTCCCCACTAAAGGAGAGAAAAAGAAATTTCTCCTGACTCAGAGACTAAAATTAAAACTAAACCATTGGGTTTGTAAATAATGTAACTATGTTCACACACACACACAAAAATACTGCCAATTTTTGAAAAGTGCCTTTAGTTTCTCAATTCTGTTTTACATAAAGAATATTAAAGCTAAACTTTCTATTGACTCAAACTAACATAAAAACTGGATCATAAAAACATGCTGAATAAAGTTATATGCATATTTTTATTTTCCCTAATGTTGGAAGAAAGCAATGAAAAAACTCATTTGGTTAAGGAAGTTACAGCATATATTAAGATTAAATTAGTATAAATACTGCCATCTGCAGGACTACTGAAGCTAGAAAGCCAGCACTAGAAATTCAATTTTTAGAATACACAAGCTTTATTCTCAAAGACTGTTCTCCAAAACCATCCTCCAATAAATAATTTTAACTATACAACTTAAACAGAAGAGAATCAAATCTATTCATATTTAGGCTTAACAGCCATTGTTAAAAATCAATCAAGCTAACACAGACCTCTTCTATTTGACTATCAAAATATAAGACCATACTGAAAAGTCATAAATGTTTTTTCTCAAACTAAAAAAATACATCTAGGGTTTTTTCTCAAGGTGATTACATGCATATAATAAATACAAAATAACTAAACATCTAAATTCTTAACCCTTTTTTTAAAAAAAGAAAGAAAGCATTTGTCCAGTTTTCCTTCAACTCTGTCCTCAAAGTTATACTCTATTAGAAAATTCCAATTAGCACTCCGGATAATTCTGATGTCACTGACAGTAAATTTCTTAAAATTCCAAATAAGATTGCATAGTTTTACAAGTAGAAATGCTATAATCCTAATCCAATTTAGCACCCCCAAATTCCCCTGCTATTCCTGCATTTTACCTAATTCTCACTCCTTCTTGTCATCTCATTTGACTATCTCCTTCCTTAATCATTTTTATTAGAGCCAGACAGTACTATTTCAAATAAAATGTAAGGCTCCAAATCCCTCCTGTACAAATCCTGTACAAATTTAAGGTACAAATTCCTCCTGTTCCCCTTACTGCTGAGTTGAAATAAAGGAAAAACACAGAGAGATAAATTTCATTATACATACAACCAAACAAAGATTTTGGGAGAAGAAAAACAAATCTTCTTTGTCTTTTTCACTACAACACCTTATAGGACTGAATTGAAAGGGAAAATGAGGAAAATGAATATTAACATCAGAAATGCCTTAATATATAAAAATATTATCATCACTTTCTGTAACACATTAGCTCCCTTTCCAAAGAGTCTTGGTATCTTAGGTAAAACCTTATAGACTATCAAATTCAAGTTCTCTTCCAACTGACCTATAAAATGTCATTAGTGGCTGGAATCTACTGAATGCCCTTTACTGTTAAACTTTACAGGTATCACCTCATTTGGCAACCCAAATGGTGACCATCATCTGTCCTATATTATTACTGATTGGTCGAGGGTCAAGGGAGACCATAACATCAAAATGCAGCTATAGATGAAGGGATTTTATTGTGACAAAGTTCCACTTTTTATAGAAATGAATTTTGCCATTCTGTACCTTTCACCTATTAATAAGAACCTATAAAAAAACAAAAGTCCTTTCAAACAACAGCCTTTCAAAATACTTCAACAATATTAACACACTACCTTAGTCTTCTCTCTACAGAATTAACAACCTTACCTCCCTCCTTCAGATCACTCAGAATCCAGTACCTGGTCTTAATATTGTCCTTAACCCTAAAGCAGACCAAGATTACAAGAAGAGGTTGTGACAAATTTCAAGCTATTCTCTCTTTACCATTTTGTTCCCTACAAAAATTATATCTAGAGGAAATTAACCAGCTGCTTGTCTTTAATTTAGAAAAGGGATAACCCCTAGTATTACAGAAAACATTTTCGGTTTTCTTCTTATTTTTAAATGATTTGAGTTTCCCAGACATCACATACTGGGCACTTGATTATCTTACTCTACATCCACAATGTGTAAAAGGTTTTTCAATCAAATCAAAACAACAAAAACTAATTCTTGAAATTTTTGGTTTCTTTCTTGCCAAGGTGTAATATCTGAAAGTGTCCTTTTCAAAGCGGCCACAGGAAAAAGACGACCAGAGCAATAGTAATTAAGATGTGTACAAATCTAAGAAATAGCTGTATCACAACACTATTCGTATACAGAAACTAGTTAAGTGGCAATAATAAATAGTGCAAGGAATGAGAAATTGAGAGAAAAGAGGCCTAGGTTCTATTCATCTTTGCTACAAACTAGCCCTGTGCACTTGACCTATCTAATGTATCAATATTTTCAACCACAGTACAAGGAGAATGGACCATCGATCAAGGATTAAATGAGTTTGAGAACAGAAAATGCATTCAAATTAGAATGCCCAACATGATCTCTATTTAATCCCTATGGGAAGAATTCTACTCTATAATCTTTTAATTATTTTTTTAGTCTTAAAATATTTTCTCCTAAGACAATAAAACACATGAATTCACCGTAACAATTTAAACTTTTAAGTGATGTATGTTATACTTTACTTCACAAGTGTTACAAGGGAACCTTTTGGTTTCTGATTTATATAAATTTTTTTTACAGTTAAGTGATTTACATGTTCTTCCCAGCATAAAGAGTTATTAAGAGCTTGGTATCTGGATCTGGGGGGAAAGGCTCAAATCCCAACATATCACTTATTAGCTATGTGACCTTGGGCAAGTAATTTAACCTGTCTGTATACCTACTTCATAAAATGGTTGTGAAAATTAAAGGGTCAACACATGTAATGTGCTTAGAACAGAGCACAGTATATAAATCATTCAACTTGTGTTAGCTATTATGACTTGTGATTTCTCAGCTTCACAGACTAAATCACTGAAAAATATTTCATTTAGAACATATTTACACAAAAAGATGATCATTTTTAATTCACTGAGGCCATTATCCAAAATAAGTGTAGCTTTAAATGTGGTTCTAATTTTAAGACATGTAAACAACAACAAAAAAAGAACATTTACCAAAACTTAAGAGAAAATATTGCAGTTAGCCATGAATCTTTCAAAAACATTTCAAACAGGTGAGATTCAAGGCAAATTTTAAATGCAACAGACACATGAGAACAAACTAACTGACAATATGGAAACATAGCTGGAAGGACTATTATAATCTGCTGGTTTACCTGGAAGTGGAATTGGCATGCCAGGAAGGGGAACACGAAATGGAGGTACCATTACTGGTGGAAAAGCAGGTATTGCTGCTGTTGGCTGAGGTACTGAATGAGGAACAGCAGGAGGTAATGTCTGGGGATGCGGCTGTGGAACAGTTTGCACAGGTGTGGCTGTAGGAGCAGGAGTTGAAACACTAACTGTAGGCGTGGCAACTGAAACAGCAGAACTTGGGGTCTGATCTTGTGTTGTAGGTGCTGATAAAAGATAAAACAAAAACATGTATCATTCCTTTATAAAACATATTACTATATTCACTCATCATTCACTCATTCAGTAAGTATTTAAGGGTCCATTCCATGCACTGCAAGAAATTTGTCAAAAGGTCTTCAAAAAGCTTGAAAATAGTTAAATATAAAAAAAACCCTAAAATACTAAGTGAAATGGGGTAAATGTAGAGGGGTGTAAATCAAGACCCAAATACCATTTCTAACTGTAAGAGAGCACAAAAAATTTTATGCTGGGATGATGAGCCTTGAAAGATTAAGATTTCAGTAAGGAAAATGGGACAATGGAAGGAGAAAATAAGTAACTGATGGGAAAATATGAGTATAAGCAGAGTAGAGAACAAGGAATTGTCTAAAAATTGAAGGCAAGCAGTCAACAAGTAAAACTCTAGGCATACCAACAAAACCAGTGAGTTATGGTTGGAAAGGTAGGCCAGAGGTAGAAAGCCTTGAACAGAAGATTAAGGAGTCTGCACTATACTGGATAGGGGAAGAGGAAAACTTATGTAAGTGCAGAGAAAATGATCTAGAAGGATGCACACAAAATATATTAACAGGAGTTATTTTTGTGTATTCCTTTCACTTTTTACTATATATGTCATTAGAGTTTGAATTTTTTATAAGAATGCATTAACATCATTTGTGTGACTTGATGAATTAACCTGGAGATGCATAAGAAAAAGAACAGAAGTGGGACAATCAATTTCAACATTACTGGAATTGTCCAAGCTAGGAAAAACAGAGAAAAAGATATGCAAATAACTGATGGCTGACTGGATATAAATGAATGGAGTCAAAAACAACTCAGGTTTCTCTACAATTATTTCAAAATTTAAAAAATTATTTTAAAAAACTCAGGTTTCCACCATGAGAGACCAGGAGAATATGAAATTCAGGATAATTTGGGTTCTGCTAATGTATTACTTTTAAATATCAAAAATAAAGTATTTATCTTTAGTAATCACATTTAAAATCAAACATTAAAAAAATAAAATCCATATTCCTACTTTTTTTAAAGTTTCAGTTCTCATATTATTACATTTTCATTTATTCATAACCCATCTAGTTCCAAAACAAAATTCATTTAGGTATTTCATAGGTAACAAATACTTCATCTTTTTCTTGATATAAAGAAAGTGTCAAACTCTACCTATATTGGACTAAGAATGAATTTATCAAGTTCAATAAAATAAAAACAGTGCTTTCCCAGTCTTTATGCTAATTTCATTCTAAGCAAAAGCACACTACTTAAAACAAACCACCCAATAATCTAACTGACAACAAAATCTGTCAGTATCTTTTTCTAGCTTCTAATAATGAAAAACTCACTTAGGCTGGGAAGATGTGAGCAATTTCATACTTGTTAATGAGGGACTCACCTTGGCTAAATAGACAGCAGGGCCAAACAAGTATCTTCAGGGGCCCAGGAATGAATTGTTGGTCTAGCATAGACCTAGCCTTAGGGTACAGTATCATATTAATATAATTTTATAACAGTGTGAAAAATACAAATTACATGCAACATTTGCCCAGTCCCATACATATACCATTTAGCATTTGTAATCTATAGTAATGGCTAAAAATACCTCTAGTGATTCTTCTCAACTTCCCTGAGAAGTAGGATTTTATCATCACTTTTCACAAACTTGCACAAAATAAAATGAGTTTATGATTAACTGAGATTAAAATATAAATATTCTTAATTTTTAGTCCCATTTACCCATAAATCTATACTGTAGATCATAGAATGAAATATTTTAAAATATTTTGATAATACTATTCAGATCATTACTAAAATTATACTACAGTCAGGAAAATAAAATGAGTTATGGGGAATCAAATTTCAACTGGGAAGGTATACCAATGAAGATGGAAAAAAGTACTCATTCAACACAGTCCTCCTACATTCCAGCACAGGATTTTTTGAATTTGACTAGTGACCATGAATCATAAAGGGAAAGGGATAAAAGCAATAAAAGAATTAAATGGGAAACTGGAGAATGGTACCTGAGACTTGTGGGTAAATTCCTACTAACTCCATCTGCTAAAGTAGGTAATGAAGCACTATGCCTCAAAATATACTACTAACCAAGCCTCAGATCTTAATTAAAAAAGAGAAGTGACTATATATACCAAAGAAATATTAAAATTGTAGTATTAAAACACTCTATGATACTGAAGTAAGTAAAATAAAAACAGGAATATTCAGAAAGACAACATCAAAACTGATGTTTAAAAGCAATAAAAAGAACATGATCTTGCTTCTTTGTTCTTAGAAAAAAGGCCTCCCAATCACTGAAGGATAGCATGCGAAATGACAAACAGTATTTTTTAATAGAATAGTTGATAATCACAAGATAGCTTTGAGCTTACTGACAATCACTCTGATATAGAAATGGAATATATATACAGAGTAGTTAAAATATCTAGCTACCTACCTCTCTCAAAACAAAATGAAATTCTACTATTTCTCTTTCCTAAAAAGGCAGGGAAGAAAATTTAAGCAACACAGAGCCTCCACAGAGAACTACATTGCTTTTATTAATCCCCTTTTCCCATTACTCCATAAAAACTGTCAGTTTTCCGCTTTGCCACACAGGTTTTGGAAGCACTAAGCCTATAAAAAGGTAAAGACCCTCAATCAGCTAGCTAGTATGACTGTTATACTTCTATCAAAATTTGCCTTAGCTACAAAAGAAAACAGACTTGTAAACTATTTACATTTTCCTGTTTACTATATTTCCACCCAAAATGTCTAAAAAATATTACATAGGGCCTTTAAAAACTATGTCCAGATTACATGCACCTTAGTTTTTCAGTTATTTCTTGTAACTATAAAATAAATTCAAATTTGAACCCGCTATGATTAAATTTCTCACATATACATATTTCTTACACACTAATAATTCCCAAGTCCCTGAAGCTACCAGGAAAAAAAAAAGGTAAACACCTTTTTTTCTTATTCTTATCCATTATACAGGTAATAAAATAATACATATTATAATCACCCTGCAGGGATAGCTATATATCTTCAGACCAGCATCATAACAAATAATCAAATCAATAAAATCATTATTTAAGTACTTTGGGGCTCAGTCTCAGCCTGCAAAGTAGCAACATCCACATACAAAAAAAAAAAAAAGAACAAAAAAAGCAGAATAAGTAGTATAGATATTAATGACATTCTTTTAAGCAAATTAATAGTCATCTCTCTTCATCTTGAAATCTGCTATTAATCAACTCTCACCTTTTTTAGAAAAGACCTAACCTTTGGGCCTATGTGACTTTATATCTATCGTTCTGACTGCTTCTATTGCAACTTCTCATTTTATCTGTCTGCACTCCATCCTAGGACCTACCCACCTCTGAGAAGGATTGTTGAAAAGTTCCTAATAAGTCTTCCTGATTTCAACTCTACCCAAAAGAACAGCAACAGAAAAATCTTCCAAAATATTACAATTATTACAAATATTTCAGTAGGGGGCCTGTCTCATCCATTTTCCTGGTTTTTAAGACCTTTCATAAGCCAGTTTCACTAGTCGATTAACCAATATAAACTTCCATATAAGAAAAGTTTCCTAACAATTCCATAAACTATTTACCCTCATTTCCTGACCTTTGTTCATACTGTTCCTTTTACCTGAAAATCCTTTGTGAGCCTACTCAAATCCTACCCCACAACATCCTTCATGATATACCTCAATAGCCACATAATCTACCCACTCATCTCTCCATTTCTCTAATTCTTACATCTTTTATATTCACTGTATAATTTTACACACTATTCCCTAATTGTTTCTTATGAAAAATTGAGAACTCCATAAGGTAGGGGCCAAGACTTACACATAGTTTGCAAACCCCACAGCACCCAGCATTACTGTTGGCCAAGGTGAATAGCTAACTCTGCACTTCCCCAGCTTAGCTCCATAAACTGCAACTGGGCAAATAATTTCTTCTACTAATGTAAATTTCTGTCTTTCCCTAACCCAAAAGTTTTAACGTCAAAAATGTATTTTACATAACATCAAGGATAATAAAAGAAACATTACTATCATTTTGGAATGCACTCTAGCCCCTAAATGAAAACACAAGCTGGCTGGTACTCACTTGATACTGTCTGTGCAACTGACGTGGCAGTTGTTGTGGTAGAAGTGGTAGAGGATGGGGTAGATGATGATGTTGAAGTGGATACTGCAGGTGCTGGGCTACTGGTTGTAGGGGTGGATGCTCCTACTGCTTGTGCTTGCACTTGTGCCTGGGCCTGAGCTTGTGCTTGTGCTTGGGCCTGGGCCTGGGCCTGGGCTTGGGCCTGGGCCTGGGCCTGGGCCTGGGCCTGAGCTTGAGCCTGGGCCTGGGCTTGAGCTTGAGCTTGAGCTTGTGCCTGTGCCTGCGCCTGGGCTTGTGCCTGTGCCTGTGCCTGTGCCTGGGCTTGAGCCTGAACCTGCGCCTGGGCTGCAAGCATAGGTGTCAGTTCTGATTGCTGAATAACCTTAACTCCATCTGGCTTGGTCCATGCAGATTCACGTGTCCGAGCATTATAATAATAAACCTGCAGAGGAAGCAAAATCGCTGGTATCACAAAATCTGCCAACTATTTTTTAAAAATAATGCAACTATATTTTATCTTAAAAGGTATTTAAAGATAACTTAGAAAAGAGAAAGTATACCAAAACAGGCTAGTCAATAAAGGACTACACATAATTTCTTCCCCTCACTGCCCAATTTCCTATAATAAGGACACTGAACTTTTAACACACAAAAAGCAAAACCAATGTTACATTTTGTGCAGAAAGTTAATATAGCAGGCCTGAGACTACTATCCTTAGAAAAGCCCTGTTTACAAAGTTGGCGCTTGGCTGGAGAATGGGAACTTGGTTTTCAGGAAGTTTACCACTATTCCCTCACTAATAGGAATGGCTCACTGTGCCTAAGCCATCCATTCAATGCAGTTTATGCTGAAACATTTGCTTTCCTTCTGGGAGTCTGGAATTTTGGTATGTGCTAGGCAGATGGTACCTATGTGACCAGCCCCCAATAAAAACCCTTGACTCCAAGGCTCAGGCAAATTTCCCTGGTAGACAAAACATCACAGATGTGTCACCATTCCATACTGGAGGAATTAAACATGGTCCTATGTGATTCCACTGGGAAAGGACGCTTGGAAGCTTGTGCCTGGTTTCCTTTCAGACTTCACCCCAGGCGCCTTTTTTCTTCACTACTTTTGCTTTGAATCCTTACACTGTAATTAGTCTTAGCATGAGTATAAATATATGCTGAGTCCTGTGAATCCCACTAGTGAATCACCAAATCTGGGGATGGTCTTAGAAACCAGTGACATATTATTTAAAATATAAACTTCCAGAATCACAGGCAAATGTATGTTAGCACTCCAGTCAACTTTATACCTGCACAGAAGTCCAATCCAGTCCGCTTTTCCTAGAGTCCATCCCCATCCTTTGCTCCTTCTTAATTGATAAGGGTACTATCATTGATCTCAATCTGCCAGAACACTTAAGTTTTACTCTTCTGTCACCAAGGAGATAACTTAAACATACTTTATAATTTACCTTCCCATCTGGAGTTTTATTTTCAACCCATATCTCTTCAGTAGGAGGCAGTGCTGGAGTACCAGGAGCAGTCACAGGAGGCATTCCTGGTGGAAACATCATACCCGGAGGAGGAGGCATGGTTCCCATGGGTGGAGGCATGAAAGGTGGTCTCTGTTAATTCACAAGAAAAGTAATGGTCACTTGTTACCTTTTTTCCTTCAAATTATTACTGAATCCTACCCAAAAGTAAAGCACTGTAAGAGAAATAACTTTTATAGTCTATTCAAATACATTCACCTGTCGTGTAAGCAGTTTCTCTGTAACAAAAATGATTACTAAACAGATTAGAAAATACATCAAAATACTAACAGTAGTGAACTCTGGGGTATAGCACTATGGGTGAATTTCACTTTCTTCCTTACACTTTATCTGCATTTTTCACACACCAGGTACTGGATTACTTTTAAAAGGAAAAAATTGATTTTTATATCCTCTTTTAATAACAAGCACACCAATGCCTCCACATCTCACCCACAACAGGTAACAACACTATGAGAAACATTATTTCACAAAATAACGCCAGAATAACCAAAAAAAAAATTTTTTTTTTGATATACCTAACCCTTTATTCTTTTTTCCTACTCAAGAATATACATACATATATGTTTACTGGCAATATATGTCATTGAAAATAAATTTCCTCCACTTAAGATTTCATATTTCATTTCCCATAAAGGTGAATTACTAAAAACAATTCACAGAGCTAAAGGTAGGTTAAGAACTACCCTATATATTCCTAGTTGTATACGTATATTTTTCTATCACCATCAAAATTTGTTCTGAATTTTTATACTTATTACTGCTACATATTAATATATGATTGTTCTCTTTAATTCCCATTTTCCTATAAATTGAAACTATTTAAGAATATAAGTTTTTAAGGCAAAATCCATATATAATGTTGATACTGAAACCAACAAAGAAATGGCAACCTCTACATTCTTTACCTGGAGGTGTGGTGGGCCCATAGGTGGAGGTATCCCTCCTGGAGGAGGCATTGGTGGCATATTAGGATCAAAAGGAGGACGTCCGAAGGGGGGCCGAGGTGGCGGAGGAGGGCCTCGCATCATACCAAAAGGTGGAGGAGGTCGCATGAGAGGTGGTGGGCCTCGCATCACTGCATTTGGTGGGGGAGCTGGGCCTCGGAACCTCAAGGCCTGTTGCTGAGCCATCCTGTGCAGGAAAGCAATTAATAAGCTTTTCTTTCTCAAAATTACAAAAACGTAACTACAGATTGCTAATTACATCAAATTTAAAAAGCCTTTAAGTCCACGTGGAATTGGAACATCATCATTTTGCAAACCATCATGGTAAAAACTGGATCAGTAAGAATGATTAATGGATGCTGACTCTAGGGGGAAATCTGGATGAGAGGGATATCTGGATGGTCTTAAAATGTCTCCCCACATGCTGCTTAGAGTTGCAAGGGAGGATGAAAAATAACATAAGAGGGAGATTGGGCAATACCTTGACCAGGTGATCAAAACTAATATCATCTAAGAAAGATAGATAACATGTGACTGAGAGAGACACAACATCACCTATTTCAGCCAGGAATCTATAACCTCAATTAATAATGAGGAACTATTAGATAAACACAAAATGAGAAATGTTCTATTAAAAGAGGGCAAGCTTCATTCTTCAGAAATGTAAATGTTGTACATAAAAGACAAAAGCGGGCTGTGGAAACACTGCAGATTAAAGAGGGCTAAGGAGACATGGCAACACAATACTAACTCTAGCCTAGATTCTGTACTTAAGGGAAAAAATGCTATAAAGGACATTATTGTATCAATTGACAACACTGGAATACGGGCAATAAGGTGTTGCATCGCTGTAAATTTATGAAGCTGATAACAGGGCTGTAGTTAAGTATAATAATATATATATCTCTTTTACCCTCAAATGGTTCAGAGTAACAAAGAACATGCCTGAGTTCAAGTAAATAACAAAGCAAAGGAAAGGAGGTAAAAAAATTAACACTAAGTGTTCTACCTTTATTTTTACAACTTCCTTTAAGAGTGAAATTACTTCTAAATACAATGTTTTTGGGGGGAGGAGGGGGAAGAGCTGAAGAGATCACTAATATTCTCTATCTAAAGGGAAGCATTTCCCTGCACTGCACCGTGACCCACCCCTCATTCTCTAGCTAAATTCCCTAGTGTATTTTCTCCATGACATTCAAGCAAGTAAGTAACATCACACAAGATAGTTTTTTATCTATCTCTTCCCCCAAGTGCTTTTTCAAAAAAATTATTTACCCTTAAAAGGACTTACTATGTGCCAGGCAGTGCTCTAAGCTCTTTTCAAATATTAAGTCATTTAATTATCATAACAACCCTATGAGACGGATACTATTATTAACCTCATTTTACAGATGAGAAACTAAAAGCACATAGACATTAATTTGCCCAAGGTCACACAGCTGGTTCAGTGGTAAAGCCAGAATTCAAATGTAGGCAAATGGGTCCTAAACACTATGGTGTCATGTAACCCCCTTCAGAGTTGGAACTCTATTCACTCTTCTATGTGCAGCACATAGTTAGGTCTGTCCGGAGTAGAGCTTAATAAATATTTGTTGCATGAACCAATGAATACCTAAGTGATACTGTACATAAGCTACCTTACAAGTAGAGTATGCAAAAATACTATAAAAATTATTTTACTACAATTTGCCATAGTCAATTTACTGAGCACCTATCATGGTCTTCCCAGTAGCTATTATAAATCTCTACATTATACATGAAATCTACATTTTTGTCCTTAAGAGAGGATTAACAATTATATTCTTTACGTATATATGAAAAGTCATTCTTATAATCTCTCTTCACAAAGCTCTTTTGACTTTCTTACATTTTTTAACCCTGTTTATGATTACCCTTTGGACATTGTCCATGTGGTAGTTCAATTCTGACACACACAAAAATCCTAATAAAGAACCAATTGGCCTTCTAAGAGAACACTAGGATTTGTAAACAAGTCCAGAACTACTATACCAAATATATTTAACCAAATTTGCAAATGATCCTACACTCTGAAGGTTAGGATACATGAATTAAAAATGGTGACAAAGCTATGCTATCAACTCTAAGTGAATCAATGTATGGTATATTCATGTATTGAAACAACACACTGTACCCCTCAAATATGTACAAATAAATGTTAAAAAAAGATTTTTAAAAATTTGAGTTAAAAATGGTGACTGCAAAAAGGAATATTGATTGCATCGCAGTAATCAGAAAGTCTTTTTCAAATTATATGCATTCCCAAAAGACAGAGGGCCACTGTTACTGAAGGAATGTCTTAACCCTTAAGGCAGAAAAAAAAGTTAACCACCAAGGAAAGATATTGTTTCAGCTTTGAATTAATAATGTATCTTAATCTTAGATTTCCTTTTAGTCTGCCTCTACTTTTTCAAAAAATCTTTTCCAAAATGTCTTTCTTTGGAATTTTATACTTCCTGGTTATAGCTTGAGGGTAAGCGTTTAGGCTCTAGAATCAGCAAAAAAAAAGTCATATCAGGGCTCTGCCTTTTGCTGTCAACCTAGTTACATAATTTCTAGGTCTGAGTTTCCTCAGATATAAATGAGTGGGGAATAGAAATAAAAGCTACCTCATATCTCTGTTCAATGAGATGATCCCCACAAAACATTTAAGATAGTACCTGTACACAGGAAACTACTCTATCTATCATTACATTTATTCTCCCACAAAACCTAGCAAAGTGCTTTACCTGTAAAAGACACTTGGTTGTTAATTTAACTAAGACTGAATGGCTTTCAAAAGTCTGCCACTAAGATGGTAACAAAATTTACATAATTTTCCCTTCAACAGCCTGAAGTTGCCATTTTTGGATGTCAGTTAGGTGTAGAACATGTGCTGAGCTCTTTACATACATTGCTTCATCACAACCACCTCACCAGAACATGCAGTGAGGATTAAATGAGCTAATAAAGTACTTGGAGCTGCACCTAGCACATAAGTGCTATACAGGCATTAGCTATTATCACTATTGCTATTAACTTTAGCACAGGAATAGTACTGTGAGTGTTAAATGGTATTAATATTAGTATTATATTAGCTATTATTACTATAAATATTATTATCTGTGTAACGTGGCCCTTGTTAACCTTTCCACAGACTCTAGCCTTTCTCATCATCAAATACTTCAAGTTCATTACTTTGAAGCCTTTGTACTTGTTCCTCTGCCTGGCATGTTCTTCTCCAGATCTTTACATGATTGGCTCATTCTCATTAGTCAGCCTCAGCTCAAATGTCACCTCAAACTGCTTCCCTACCTCTAACCTCTCCCAACCCCTCTCTGGCTCATTACCCAATTTGAGTTTTCAATTATGATAAGTGTTACAAAGAAATCTCTCATTTATTTGTGTACTTTTGTGTTATCTTTATTTACTAGTATATAGCTCCTTTAGTATACTGCTGTACCACATTACTGTTTTAATAATGATAGCACCGGGCAGTTCCTATATGCTAGGCACAATTATATGGACATTATCTATACTAACAACCCAATGAGGTAAGTTTGACACCATTTTTACAGAGGAAACAATAGCGCAGAAAAATAACTTTAAGACAGCTAGTCAGTGATAGCATAAAGGTATTCTTATTTCCATTTTACAGGTGAAGAAACTTAGATTGCAAGTACTTAGGTGCAAGTATTAATAAGTAAACAAAGGTCCCAGGTACAGGATCTATACAAATATGATTCTAAAAGTTACTTTAGTGGCCTTGAGCCATAAAGGGATTGATGGCATTTGTATCTCTGAATTTTCTGGTCATTGCAGGTGATTTGCATTCCTTCCAATTACAACCCTTTTGGAAAACAAAAGCATACTGGCATGAACAGAAACAACCAAAAAAATAATAATAATAATAATTCCACAAGAACACCATGAAAATATAAATGTATTTTTCTAGAAGTACTCTACCCAGATATGCAATCTCCCCAATGGTGAAGACAAGACTGCAAATAATTTAATTAGAGGGGCAGAAATGGAAAGATGCCACAGATATATGGAGGCAAACTATATGTCTAAACTGTGAATGAGAGATGTAAGTTTTAAGTCCAGACCCTGCTGACAACTACCCAGTGACTCTGTATAAGTCACTTCACACTTGCAGGCTGATTTCCTATTTGATGTGGTTGGTTTAGTTTAGAATTTAGATCAGTCTTAATTACACTGGAAGTTCCTGAGGACAAAGGCATCTTTTTTGGTCTGGTTCAGGGCTCTACTGCCAGCACCTAGGTCAGTAACTGTAACACAGCACACAATTAAATGTCAGCCCAATAAGCTGACATCTCTAAATCTCCTATCTTCATTTATTTACCGTGTATCTTCATTTATTTACCAGATATCGGACACACCATGAAATTCATTCAGTATACAAAATACAAAACTAAGCCCCATCTTCTGCCATCAAAGAGGCCATATAAACAGCTAATTTCTCATAAATCATAAGAAATGCTAAAGCTCTGTACAATACACTCTGCAAGCAACTTCCAACCCAAGAGGCTAAAGGATGAAATATTTGCAACAGAGCAAATAAAATTAATTTGCAAATTAAAGCCCTATTCAAATAAGTTTTGCAACAATATCTAGCCTATTAATAAAGTCTAAAAAGCTACTCATCGTACAGCTGAAGAAAGATACTCTTTAAATGCAAAATGTTTCCCAACAAATCCATCTGAGACTCATTAAGTAACTCCTTTTGAGATCAGAATCAGTAATAAAATTTCCATCACTAATATTGAAAGACCCTAACAATGCACTTTGGTCACTCATTACTAAAGTATACATATGATTTGAGATTCATCTACGAAATAAGACAAAATTTTATTCCTGCCAAAGTAGAAATAAAATTTTCAGAATCTTTAAAAAATTTTCTCCTAAAACCATGAATGACAATACCCATTTCCTTCTACAACTTCATCTTAAGCTCTAGACAACATTAGAGTCCTGATAATCTATACTGCTTTTATTCATTTTCAAATGCTGATAGTGGCACAATTCAGAGTGGGAGGTGAACATCTGAAATGACATTTTTCCCATCCAGAAAGAAATATGTACCGAATATACATAAAACATAAGTACCTCTTTTTTCCTCTAAAAAACCACTCACAAAAAAAATTTTTTGGTCACTCGTATTTTAATAATTTTAAGTAGGCAAAAATTAAGTAGGAATTTTTACAAATTCCACAGGCATTGAGGTTCCAGGGGGAAAAAGGTCACTGCACTCCTTAGGGCAATGGCCTAAGCAGACGAATGGAATACTGATCCAGATTGCATGCAGACTCTGGAGCCTGGCTGCCCGGGTTCAAGTCGCTTCCTGGAGCGACAATTCCACCTATGCGATCTTGTTCTACCGACTCAAGCTCTATTAGGCTCAGTTTCCTCACCCGTAAGGCGGGCGAGTAACTTAACTAAGGATGCCTCTGGTCTGTGGCCTACAATATGAGAATGGCTTCTGCTCCAAAGGTGAGAATTAAATGAAACAACCCTAAGTAAAGGCTTAAAGGCACATAGTAAGCGCCTAACTAACGGATGCTGCTATTGCTGTTAACAACTACGGAAATGAGGAATAAAGGAATGAGAGAAAGGAAAAAAAAGCCACGCGAAGTTAAGAAAGGCAAGTGACCAAGTGATGTGGCAGACCTGAAAAAAGGGCAAACGTGGGGACCCCAAAGCGCCGCGGGGGGCTTGAAGGAGGCTGGGCTAGGGTGGCGAGGGCTCCCGGGGAGTTCAACGCGAAGTGGAGGGGCGCCAATGAGGAATCCAGGCCCGCGGCGGAACGGAGCCAGGAGGAAGGCTGAGGTCGCTGAGGCGGAGGTGGCACGCGGCTGAGGCGGGGCCCCAAGGCGGGAGCGCCGGGCCCGGACCGCGAGGAGCGGCGGGGCGCCGAGAAAGCCGCAAGGAGCGCCCTGAGAATTCGCAGGAGACCGCGGCCCCGGCCCAGCCCGGTTCTCTCATTCAAGCCGCCTTCCCCTTCCCCCTTCTCCAATCCCATGTGGTCCTGACCCCAAGCCGCCGCGGCTCCGCTGCCCATCGTCCTCCCAGGAGCTCCGCACAGCAGGCCTAGCCCCTGGGACTCCAGCGCGCCGAAATATAAGGGAGGACGACGCCCCTTACCTGAGCTCCCCCGGATTGAACCGCTCACCGTCTCCCCCGTCCCCGCCACGCTCCGCCATTACAGAGGGCCGCGTTCATCCACCCGCCGACCGGGCGTTCCTTATTGGCCGGAAGGATCGTCAATCCCGTGCGAGGGAGGCGGAGATAACAGAGACCTATGAGGTGATTGGTGAAATTTTCCATCAATCCTGGAGTTGAGGGCGGTATCTGCCTTACTATTGGGCAAAGGGCCCGCCGACTTTGAAAGCGGTATGGAGACAGCTACGTGATTGGTCGCTCAAAGGCTTTATGGGAAATTAGACTTCGGCAACGAAGAACAGCCGGCGCCCTCTCGAGGTAAGGAAAACTGGGTCCTCCCGCGTTAGGCCCAGCTTGCGTGGCCACGTGTCTGCCGGCTCCCAGGAGAGCCAATTGTGGAGCCATATTGGCCACTAGGAGCTCAGGCCGAGACCATTTTCATTGGTTGAGCCAATCAAAATCGACCTGGGTCTAGACTACACCAATCACAGAGTTGCTGTGGGAAGGAACTATTTCCCAGGTTTACAATAACAGGAGTCTTATGTCAGCACTCTGCTCTATATCCATGTTATCAATAACAGGCATGCCTCAAATTTCCAGTACATGCATTTTAGGGGGACCTATTCAATTCATAGCAACATGCCATAGGGGCCTCTCCATAGGGCTGATCACAACATAGCAGTGTCCTCCCAGCATGAGCAATCTGAGAAAGAGAGAGAATGCCCACGCTGGAAGCCACAAACTTCATAACCTAACATTGGAAGTGAAATTCTATCACTTCTGTCGGCATTCTGTTCATTAGAAGCAAGTCAGTAAATCCAGACCACAATCAAAGGGAGGAAATTACATGAGGGCTGAATAACCACACTATCTTTCTGGTCTCAATGTACACATTACTTCCTCCAGGAATCATTCGTCAAATAGAAAATTTGACATCCTGCCACCCCCATCTAAGTAGTTTCCCCTGTAAGATTCTTCTCCTATAGCACCCTATATGTCTTTGTAACATTTCAACCACTTGTTACTACATATTGTAACATTGAACAATATGTTTTACATATTTTATCTTATTTCTTTTCCTGCCAACTCACTTTATTGTTTTTAATGCTGAAGTGTATATTTTAAAATAAATTATAGATATCATAACATTCTACCCCTAAATATTTCTGTATGTATCTCTTAAAAAAAAAAAGCCCACAGTTTTCTATATAACAAAAGATAACATTTTCACACCCATCAAAATTAACAACATATTCACATTTCCCCAACTGTCCACAAGATGTCCTTTCGAGCTGGTTTGGCCAAATACGGATCTCATTCACAACCAAACAATGTGTCTTGTTGCTGTGTCTCTTAAGACACTTTTAACCTTAGAACAACAGTCCCTTTTATCATGATGCTGACTTGCTGAGGACCAGGCCAGTTTCACCTTTGGATCTGTCTGATTGCTTCCTCTAACCCTTGTATTTCCTGTAAGCAGGAAGTTAGATCTGAAGATTTGGTCAGATTTAAATTAAACATTTTTATCAAGAGAACTTCATAGGCAGTGTTGTGTATTTCTGTTGTATCACATCAGGAGACACATGAATACCTACCTGGTTGTCCCACCCTTAGCAATGCTAAGATTGACATGGGTTTAAAGGTGATCTCTGCTCAACCCTTCTATGTAACCAGAATATTATCTGCATGATATTACTTTGACTTCATACAAATGTCCGATTCCCTATGAAAAGGGTGACCCTGTAATTTGCCATCTAAACCATCACATCTGAAACTGAAAGGGGTACTATTAATAAGTACATTTGGATAACAGTTATAAATTAGGAACATCTCAGGCAAAATGGGATGGTCAACATACCTGTCAACCATTAACCTAGTGGTTTAATGGTTTTATTCTTCCTGAATCAATACTTTCCTTAGGGGTGACAAACTAATGATTTTCTAATTATATATTACTTTCTACATTTACTAGCTGATAGTCTTCTATAAATTACAGAGTTCCTTCAACAACACAGGCTATTTAGTTATCCTGAAATAATACAGTTTCTATTTTTAAAGTGGATAAATGCTTTTTTCTTTTTTTTGGGGGGGGGGGGTTTGG